GTGGTAGTTCAGATTTCTTTCCTAGATGGCGTCGTTAGTTTACTGGGACAAACGGTGTCACTTATCATCATAGACAAGTGACGACACCGTCATCATAGATACTCCAATATTCTAATGTTGTAATGCAATAATTTCTCTATTCACGGAACATATCTAGACTAAATGAGGAGTTTTTTTACAAAACTGAAGAAATTCACTTTTCAAAAATTTTCAGGAGACGTAAACATGTGCTGCAGCTGTTGTACTAGAATTATCGAAAATTTAAAGAATGTAACCAATTGAGGTTAGATTTAGAGAAATAAAACGTTAATCACCATTATTTTTATTGATTTGTATTAACAAAATATAGCCATGTGTCGGTTGGAGATATCGCGTTTTATAAAAAAAAGATGGGTGATATTAACTTTTGTCAAACTAACAATATCTTAGCAATAAAAAATATTAGATGGTACCCACTAAAACAAAAAAAAATGAGTAAAAAATTTAGATGTGAACATTTTTTGCCTCATCCTCCAAGCAATCACACTCGCCATCATGATAGTTTTGAGTTTCTGGATCTGGATCACTAGTAACTTTGTGGTTGAAGAGCATTAATATACCAATGAAGATCAGTGATCTCTTTCCAATTTTGTCCAAAGTGGGTTTGCAATAAATGAAGGACATTTTTTTTTCTCTTCAGTCACGGAATGAGATAGTAGGATTTGGGGAAGAGCCTGAAGAAAATCAGTTTTTTACAATGCTTTTAAAAGATTCTGTTCCACTATCGAAGCTATAGTTGGCGCAGCATTTTATTTTGGTTGAAGTATGCTGGTCCCTTGTTTTGATTTTCTTAATAATGAAGCTTTTGGTTTGACTGATTCTGTGGTCACGAGTCGGAAAGGTTACATGAATTTTCATGAAAGGTCACAATATGAGTATTTTTATTTTGGCCAGCGCAACCATAAAAAAACAACGATACTACAGAAAAAGACGAAAATCTTGGCGTCTTAAGTGATGGATGGGTGCAGATCCGATATCATTTGCTCCTCTGCTTCCCTGCATTTCATTCCACATATAAAATGTTGCTGCCTTTGAGTCAATAGGCACATAGCAAAATGCATAGAATGCAATTTATTGTCGATAAAAGGCATCTCCGATTGGAGTTTTAGGGAGTGGGTGCACTAGTTGCAAATCAAAAACAAAACTATAAGTATCACTGGCAACTTCTTCATTAGTTTGTAAAACGCATCCGCTTTCAGCTTGTGAATACGAAGTTCAATCATTGGACTAATTCTTTTAATTAAGCCGCGAGCGTTTTGTTGAATAAGATATTTAAGACGAGTGCACGTAGCGCATGCGTTTGGAGAGGAAAATCGGTTAGAAAAATACGGTGAAAACATGAATTGCTCACGTGCAAATCGGCAGTGTGAGCATCCTTAAACATTTTATATAACTTATTTACACTTAACTCTGCTGAAAGGTAAACTCTCTTACTTTTTTCTCTTGTATAATGAGATTCCACATAATTTATGTGGCTTATGTGATTGCTTCCTTTTTGGCTCTGAAAAAAGCTTCTCGTCAATAACCATCTCTATTTTCTTTGGGCAGCAGACCTTGATTGACTACCTTTCCAATCCGCAGTAGTCGAGACGCAGATACACACATTGAGAAAAAAATTCACAGAAACCGTTCTTGTGTGAGTTACATAGACAGGCGCACCACTTCCCCTTCTTCTTTGGGGCTCGAAAGCAGAATATATTTCATCAAAACAAGATATTGTTTCTTTTTACCCTCTGCCATGTAGACTGCTTGTCGATTAATTTTTATATCATCGTAGGATACCGTAGCACAACGAAGATTTTTCGCATTATGGGCACATGGTCTGGTCTTCTGTTTTAGGAACACTAAATGGGACGAAGAAAAGATGCCAGAAGAATGGCACAAAGGACAAATTATCACAATCCATAAAAAAGGAGACCAACAAATGTGTAATAATTATAGAGGACTGACATTATTAAACACAGCGTATAAAATCATGTCAACCTTAATACAACGAAGACTGGCCAAAGCGACAACAAATATCATAGGACAGTATCAATGCGGATTTATTAAGGGAAAGTCAACAACAGATGCCATACATACGGTAAAGCAAATTATGGAGAAAGCTTATGGATATAAAATAGAAATTGAACTGCTTTTTATAGACTTCCAACAAGCATTTGATTCAATAAACAGAGCGAAATTACTTACAACTATGAGAGAAATGAGAATACACAACAAATTAAGACGGTTAATAAAAATGACAATGAGCAAAACCGTAGTAACTGTAAAAACACAAGAAGGAGACACAGAAGAATTTATTATAAATAAAGGTGTACGTCAAGGAGATTCATTATCTGCAACTCTGTTTAATCTTGCCCTGGAATATATAGTCAGAAAAATCAACAAAGGTACACTTAGAACGAGAGAGGGACAAATAATAGCATATGCCGACGATATTGTGATAATAACAAAGAACAGAAAAAAAATGGAAAGTATGTTAAAAGAATTGGTAGCAGAAGGGAAAGTAATGGAATTAGTAATAAATCAAGAAAAAACAAAAATAATGAGATTTAACAAAAAATATGACAACAAAAAGATTAGACTGGGAGAATATATATTTGAAGAAATAGAAAAGTTATTTGGGAATAGTATTAGCAAACAATGGAGAAAGGGAAACAGAAATTAAAGAAAGGATAATTACAGCAAATAAGACATACTATGCAAATAAAAAGCTTCTAAAAAATAAATTACTGAGCAAAAAATCGAAAATGAAAATATATAAAACAATAATTCGACCGACTATGATGTATGCTGCCGAAACCCTTAGCATGACAAAAAAACAAGAGGAAGACCTTAGAATACTAGAAAGGAAAATACTAAGAGCAATATTAGGACCAATAAAAATTAATGAAAACCAATATAGACAAAGAACGAATCATGAACTACTAAACGAAATTAAAGAGGATATAGTTTGTAAAATAAAACAGCAAAGGGCAAAATGGCTAGGACATATATGGAGATCAGGACCATCTACGACAATATTCTCAATATTGGAATGGACACCAGCTGGTAAACGAAGACGTGGAAGACCAAGATCTACATGGCTACAAGAAGTAACAAACGATCTCAACAGGGCGGGCGTACGACAATGGAGAGAAAAAAACCAGAGATAGGAAATAGTGGAGAAAAATAACAAGAAAATTAAATAAAGAAAATGAAGACTGATCTACCTCGTAAAATAGATCTAGAGAGCTTAAGCGGTGTAACCCCGTATGGGGTGTTTAGCCACTATATATATATTATATATATATATATATATATATATATATAATATATGTATATATATATATATAATATATGTATATATATATATATATAATATATGTATATATATATATAATATATATATATATATATATATATATATATATATATATATATATAATATATATATATATAATATATATATATATATATATATATATATATAATATATATATATATATATATAATATATATATATATATATATATAATATATATATATATATATATATATATATATAATATATATATATATATAATATATATATATATATAATATATATATATATATAATATATATATATATATATAATATATATATATATATATATATATATATATATATATATATATATATATATATATATATATATATATAAATGAGGATCACTATCGTACTTCATAATTTTTGAGCGCGCTCTCTCACTTGTTTTGATGGATCGTCATTTTTTAGATCCCACCGTTAAATTAGTAACACTATCCATATCAAAATATATCAAAAACACGCAAAACATAGAAACAAAGTTGACATACAACGAATTCACAATATCCCGTCTCATCGAACTGAAAAGTACTGATAATATCACATAATATCATTCACACTGCCAGTGCGACCTGTGAGTACTTTTAGAACTAACGAATATTATATTTTGTTTCACGAATCAACATCTAATTCTAGAGGATGCTTTTAAAACCAAACAAAAATAGTAGAGGGATAGTTCTGCAGGCCGGAGGATTTATGCAGTTTTGTAAAACAAAAACTAATTTTAATGTAACAATAACAATAAAACACTGAAAACTTTGTTTTCAAACTTCCACAAAAATTTTATTTTAACTCTTATCACTATAGCTGTTTCGGCTGATTGCCTTTCTCAAGTGATCTATTTTTGGCATGCGTTTACACTTTATACTGTTTAGGGGAGAACTATTTGTCTCAAGTTGGTCATTCAGAATTATATCTGTGTTTTTTAATTTGTTGATTTCCATAGATTCTAACAAGGATAGCTTAAGGCCTTTATTTTGAATGTGAAGAATTTTAAATTCGTCGTTAAAAGAATGATTGTGATCTGGAAGGTGAAGTGCGTAGAATCTGTTTTTCTATTATTGAAAGCTCTTTTATGTTCTGCTATTCGTTTGTTAAAGTTTCTACCAGTTTGACCGATGTAAGTTTTTGGGCAGTCCCTTACTTACATCGGTCAAACTGGTAGAAACTTTAACAAACGAATATCAGAACATAAAGAGGCTTTCAATATAGAAAAACAGATTCTACATACGCAATTTCCATCAAGTAACGATCGAATCCATCAATTACTAATTGTAATGCTTAGCTAAAGAAGGAGATGTTAAGTTTTGTATAAAAAAAGAGTGAACATGGGGTGAAGGTTTTTGAGTGGATTTTTGGATGGAAGTTTTGTGGAAGAAACGTGATTGTTAGGCTCATTTTAAATTGGAAATATTAACTTTTAACACATGAGACTTATATACAAGATCTAAGGCAGACCAAGCTCTCGAAATTCAACAAAAATGTATTTTAGCCGGAAATGGATTTATGCAGTTTTGTAAAAAAGCTCTTCAACTAGATATTACAATTTGTTGATATTTTTAATATTTCTTAAATTTTACTTCATTAATATGAAAAATATATTTGTTGCAGACATGGCGGTAGACAGACAAACGGTGTCTCAGTTTTCCAATGAAGATACATGCAAACGTTTGATCTACATAGCTAACGTTCGCCCAAAATATTACTGTGGTGGTCCAGATAAATATACACAAATTAAACCTGCAAAATTGCAATTCGTGAAAGAGATCATCGGCAGTGATTACAATCTGTTGCTCAAGACAATAGAATCAGTCAATGACGACCCATTGATACCATACCGAAAACAAATTTTTAACGTGTTATGTTCATCAATGTTATTAGAAGAAGCTACAAAAGAATGTAAAACTGATATAAGTACATTAATTCCCAAAATTATGAAATATGATGAGGATTTTTTCGACTATGTTCATTGCATGTCCGTGTCTAATAAACACAAGTTTTCAAAATCTGCAAGACGGGTTGTACGTTTGTATTACAAAGATAAAACACCTTCTCAACTGGCTCGTTACTATGCTAATACAATGAGCGTTCATGGCTGGACGCACAAGCGACTTATCACAGTATGTCACGTAAAAGCTGAAACTCCAGGTAAGTTTTTTTCATGATACTATAACAAACAAGATATGGACTTGCGGTTCTATATTTAATCGACTTTGCGCATGACATCATAGCGAGAGAAAGCCAGGAGACTTGTGTGTATCATATTTTAACGATGCATCATATGGCAACGTTGTTCCATTACTACAATGAACAACTTCGAAACTTAAACTACATACTACATACATCCAAAGCAACATTTTTTAAAGACCTATTAAAAATAAAGTATTACTTCAAGTTCTATTAAAATGGGCATTAGTATACAGTGATGAGTGCTTTACCACCCGGCTTTTTAACGTAAGAGATAGAAAACACAGTTATCTTGTGAAATAAAAAGAGATGAGACTTGTAGAGGTGGGAAATAATCGATAGAAACCTATAATTTACATTACATTGCATTATAACCATCGATAGTCTCACACCTTTAGACGTTAGACCTGGCTATTTGACTTCAGTCATAATTATACGGATAACCTCAAAAATATTTCATTTTAATAATTTCTGATGTTAGAATAAATACTTGAATACATTAAGATATATGTAAAAACATTCATTAGTAGCGATTTTAAATTAGATAAATCTTTGTTTATTTAATAATAAAAATAACTCAACTGAAATATTTGACTAAAATAAAGGTAGGTATGTTCTGTCCGATAATAATTAATGTATGTGGAATTGGTATAGTAGTTAGGGACGCTGTCTATTGACGAGAAAATTTGGGTTCAATTCACACCAAGGATAAAAATTTTGTTTTATCAGTAAAAAAATAATAGAAAATATGATACATATTAGGTAACAAATTTTCGAAAAACTAACTTTACACTACTCACTTTACACTACACATTATTTACAATTTATTTTTATTCCAATGTTATAAAACGGAAATACAAAATAATTCAAATTCAATTCATACAGTCTTCAGTTGTGAATGCAAAATAATCCGGTGAAGACTGTTTATATCAAATCCATCACTAAATTTTCAATGTTGATATAAATTCCTCTGTACAGGTAATGATTTTCAAAACAATTGACAATTGTAAATACGTTTATTTACAATATTTTTTTATTTTTGTAGAATTTTTACTTATTTAAACATTCTTTAAACGTTCTTTTAATTTTGAGGAATTTTTACTTTATTTTCAAAAGTACGACGGACACTTTTTTCAATATTAGGTATCAGATATTTATGTTTAACTTTAAACACTTCTAATACTAGTAACGACTGACTTAAATGATCAAAAGCAAAACGATCTCTGCATAATTTCAAATTATTAAAAAAAAACACATGTAGGTTTTGAACTCTAATTGTCTGCACCGCAGTGTCGAATTCTTACCACTAATCCACGATAGATTGATAATTATTCCGTGACAAGAGCAGAGAACTAACGACCACAGTTAGAAACCTGTGTTCGTAGTTCTCTGACAAGAGTATGAAACTCCTAAAATCGTAGTAGAAATTATTTTTGGTTAATAATTTAAAACTTTAGATTAAATTTAAATAAAAATTTAGATAAAATTAATTTAGATTAAATAATCACTATTAATTAAATTATTTTATTCACCTTTTTGCTTTATTGTGGTCAGTTTTTACTTTATGCGAAATTAAAAAATGGAAATACGTCACACATAATAATTATGACCGAGGTGATTTAGCTCGAAGCTAACGTCTAAAGGTGTGAGACTATCGATATTGGTAATATAATGTAATGTAAATTATAGGTTTCTATCGATTATTTCCCACCTCTATGAGTTTCATCTCTTTTTTATTTCACAAGGTAACTGTGTTTTCTATCTCTTACGTTAAAAAGCCGGGTGGTAAGACACTCAGCACTGTATATTATTATCTATAGAAGCATTTATTATTATCCATAGAAACATTTGCTCTGCTGTTAAAGTGTGTCTAAAACCAAAATACTTACATGTTTTTTAATACATTTCTTTTCTCCATTCTTCTTTTGCGTCTATTTTCAGGCGATGTTTTAGCGCTTGGGGATTTTATTAAATGAACTAAATGTTTTCACCAAAGTCTTTACTACATCAATGAATAAATAAAAATATCATTCACTACGTTTTGAAATACACAGGGTAGCAAACTCGATTAATACAGCAACATAATTAACATGAACACTTATGAGCATTTAACTTGCCGTCATTAAAGTTGTCTCGGGTTTACCTCACAAGAACATGCGCGTTGACATCTTGTTTTGTTATAGTATCATGGTTTGTTGTTACTGACATTACATCATAATGTTTATCTTATATTTTAGCACATGAGATAGTTCTCAGTTACATCATGAAGAAGAAATGTATCGACACAGACGAGGACGAAGCTAAGGAGAACTTGGAACTTATGAAAAAATGCGACGAACTAAGGAAAACTAGCGATAAAAAATTGGCGGTTCCTTTGATTACTGAGTTAAAAGCTTCTATGAAGCTGGTTGATGGGAAATTGCGGAAATCAGTCGCGGTAAGTGTTAGAAATCAAATTTATATTTTCAGTAATGTCAAATTTTTGCTACCGAACTTCTTATTCGTTTTTATAATTGAAGAAGGGTACTTTTAATATCCATGCTTTCTTTTCTTACCAATTCTGTATGTTGTCGTTGTGCCAGCAAAAATGGACAAGCAAAAACGTTTAATTATGAACATGAAATTAGCTTTTTTGTTATATTAATGTTTTTAGAAACAAATTAAATATATACAAAATTTATTATATATGCAAATCTTGGATTATTAGGCCAGTAAAATAAGATTGTAATACATGTAAAAAGTAAAGTTATTCATTTTAAATCGAATTCTTAAAAAAAACTGAAGTTTTGGTATGAAAATACGAATTTATGTCGAAAAGTATAATTTTAAAATAACGCCGTCATTGTTTAAGGGGACAGTCTCATGCGATTAAAAACACACATTTTAAACAAAAAGACACATTTTAAAATTAAAGCAGAAGAAAAACTATAATATTTATTAACATAATTTCTTCTGGAGATGATTAAGTAAGTCTTGAAGTACATAAAAAAAATTTTAATAGCGATTTTAACTTCATTGGTCTCCTGTAGATGGCGTGTAGTAAAAAGTGTGTTTTTGGTGGTAAGACACTTTGTGAGTCACCTGTAACAGATATTCAAAAAATTCAAAATGGGTTGTATTCGTGAGACTCAAAACTAGATGATAAACCTTTAAAATATGCAAATTGTATTATTTTGAAGAGTTTATACGAATTTTTTCAAAAAAGTCGAAAAATCGCTATATTTTTCGGTGAATTTACCCATATATAATAAAAGGGGGGGTGGTTTTTAAATATTTTAAAGGTTTATCATCTAGTCTTTTGTATATACATTCGAAAAATTTTTGGTTTTTTAAATCGGTTAAGCAGGTTCGGAGAAAAGTGTCTGACCAGTTTGAAAATGTTACTTTTGAGAAAAAAGCAATTAAAGTTTTTTTTACATAATTTTCGTGAATTAAAGGCTGATAACTTTATTCTCACGTTTAATCGGCCATTCCTGGTGAATATTGAGGTCCCTCTTCATCCAACAGTTGTTGTAAATGACGTTGTAAAGCTTTTTTCTTTTTGATTTGATGTTTTATAATTAATTCATTAGTTCGACTGGAGTCTCAATTCACGCCGCGATGCTGCCAGTGTAAGTGTAAAAACGGAACACACCTAGATCGCTTGTCAATTCAACGAAAACGTACTTATTTATAAATGTAGATATGAAAATATTTTATTACTAAAAAATGGTTATGTTTTATTGCCAAAACGGCTTGAAAAAAAAGTTGATTTTTAAAATTAAAAATAAAAAGGAATTTTAAAAATAAAATAATTATATTACACTCTTTTTAATTTGAAATTATAAACAATATTTGGAATAATAAATGTATTTAAGTATAAATTTTATAACTTAAATAATACCTAATGAACACAAACAAAATTGATGTTAATAAAACATTATTTATTATCTGCACAAAACGGACTTTCAGGAAAAATCGGTAGACGGAGCAACACTGTCGGCGTGCCATATACGCTACTACAAACCGCTGAGGAGAAGTAATAGTAATCCAGTGGAACAAATAAATTAGTTATAAAACATCGCGACGTTATAAAGAAATTTACACTGGTTAATTGCAACGCAGAGAATCGTATTTGTAAAAAATCCTATGTTCCGGATTTAAAATTCCAAATGTGTATAGTAACTGCCAAACGTTATACAGATATACATACTATATAAAAATGAATCACTAATACATACCCAACGTATATACAACATATATACAAAAGCAAGAACAGCTGGAGCCTCGCGCTCGCCGCGCGGAGAGAAACCGGTTTTCATACGTGCGTAGCTGACATTAATAAAATAACTATAACTTATATTCTAGTGGGAATTTCTTTTTAAAATTTTAGGAGGAGTTTTTGAATGTAAATGGAAGCGATTTATGTAAAAAATTTTTTTTTGATTTTTTGAAAGTTTCGCATGAGACTGTCCCCTTAAACATTGACTTTATAGCAAAAATCGCCATTTTTAATTTTTTCCAATACTTCTTTCCTAATTAGAAGTTTTCAGTTTTGTTTTCCTGAAATATTATAAAAAAACGATTCATTTGAAACCTAAATTAAATTTGGTTAATAATTTATTTAAAACAATTGCGAAAAATTGCAAAAACTTGTAGCAGCACTAAACATAAATAGTATATTACATAACGAGATTTGTAAGAAGATTATTACATGCGAGTAAAAAAGTTGCTCGCGAGCTGCATAGCGGCGAGCGCAGTAATTTTACAAGCATGTAATAAGCTTACAACTCAAGTTGTGTACTATACTTTTTCTACCATTATTTTTGTTTATAAAAATAAAAATTAAATTACCACTATATTTACACTGACAGATTAATAATTTTTAACCTGTCAAAACAACGCCTGTTAATTCGTTTCCATGGTAACTCGACCAACTGACTTACAAGGCGTATATGATATTACACATTTTTATAGAACTGAAGCGTAATTTTTTTTATTACGTGCTAGTCATTACGTGTCAGTATCTGTTATGATGCATTTACTTAGCATCCAAATAGTAGGTAATATACAATTTACTAGTAAGAGAGTAGAAAAACATATATTTAATACACTTAAGGTACACATAAATTTTTGTTGAAAAATATTTATTCATTTAAAAGTTGTTCCAATTGTTTATTAGAAAATTGAATGCTGTGCTGGAACAACGTGGTAACCGCCAATACTTTCATATGTGGGTTTTCCATGAAACAACGTTCTATATGTGCAAAATAATGTACTACTAACTGTGGGGAATATTGTGAGACTTCACTTGCCTGTTTAGGTAATTTGAAAATTAGTTAACCTTTAACTTTCGGTGTAACAACGTTATATGTGTTAAAGTGGTTCGTGTTTCGCTCCAAATTTTCTTCACGTGTTTTGTAAGTCAAGTTGCCCAGATGAAGTAAGTTAAAGTAATCTAATCTATGTTCATGTTTTAAAACAATATTTATTTTAGGCGCATGTTTGTAAATGTAAGGAGTCTGCTACGGATTTTTCGGCTGAGTTACTAGTGGACAACATTTAGAAAATGAGTTTAAATGGCCAATCAAAATTTTTATCTCGAGTCTCTTTAGCTGCAAGACCCACAAAGAAGAAGGGTTTTGAATTGCTTCTCCTAAAAGTTGCCTTCCAGCTGATTTAAGCATCTCAAAAATGTACATATTATTTTTTAAAATGTACCCTGATACAAAAATCTCTCTACGAACCTACCACGACATTTTAAAAAGTAAATTCAACTTGCGTTTTGCACTTCCCAGATCAGATACTTGTTCATATTGTGACAAGATCTTTATCAAACTTTCTTCTACTTGCGATGAATGTGAAAGAAAGAAAATATAAATTGAAAGTAAAATTCATCATATGCAAGCGGAAGCAGGTTACAAAAACATTAAGACAAGATACTGAAATTGCAAAAGTAAATGTTAATTATGTCGTTTTATGTACTGATTTGCACCAAGTTCTTTTTTGCCCTAATCTAACTCACTCATCAATCTTCTACCAGCGACATCTTTCTTCATATAACTACGCTGTTCATAATATGGGGAGGAATACTTCTACTTTGGAATAACCACATCACCCGAAACACAAAAATTAGGATATACAAAAGTATCATAGAAAGCATTGCTACATATGGTTCAGAGCTTTGGGTAATAAATAAAAATGACGCACCCAAAATAAAAGCAATGGAAATGAATTATTGGAGAAGATGTTGCCAACTCACTAGAAGAGATAGAGTAAGGAATACTGAAATCAGAGAGCGTATGGGCATAGACATTGACATCCTGGAAACTATAGAATGCAAAAGGCTAAAATGATATGGCCATGTAGAAAGGATGAATGATCAACGATGGCCAAAGAGAATGTTACAGTGGATCCCCATCATCCGCAGGAAAAAGGGAAGACCAAGAAGATCGTGGAGACAAGAAGTAAAAGGTGCAATGGAAGATAGGGGTCTACAGTAGATGACTGGAACGATCGCAAGCGTTGGAAAACTAGGTTGCGAGAAACGGCGGCAGCTGTAATAAACTCGTTTATATATATATATATATATATATATATATATATATATATATATATATATAAAACTGTTTTTGATGGGTTGGAGGTGGTTGGAGTCAATAAAAGGGGCTATTTGTTGACTATTTTTTACTCGAGCTTTCAATTGTGATTACAATTTTTATCAAGAGCTTCTAAAAAATACAAAATATCTTACAAAGTTGAACTAGAAATAAAAAATTTTTTGTTAACTCACCAAATAAAATTAGTTTTTTATATAAAACTACTGCTTACATATTAAATACAAAAAATATTAATAAAAAATGTCTTATTCTAATAAATGTTTCTCTGAAAAATTTTGATGAAGTTTCTTAAGAAAAAAAAATTGAATTTGTAAACAAAAATAGAATAGCTACAACTAACCTAAATGTCATAAATAACTATACTAACTTAAAAATTTTTATTTTTGACATATTGTCAAAAATAAAATTTTGTTTTTAAAAATTCTTCTTTGTTTAGTAACAAAAAAGAAGAAGATTTATTCACCATTGATAGATGCCCGAAAAAATGTAACAAATACATGAAAATTCAAAATGTGATATTTTACTGACTGCATATATAAATTAAATAGAAATTATATAATTATAAATTTTGCTTAAATTTTGAATTTCTGACCTTTTGTTTAAATTATTATCACTTTTGCTAATACAAACCATTTCCAAAAAAGTTCTTTTAAATTTATTACTTTCATTACATAAAATTTTAATATTATCAAAATCCATAATATGGTCTTTGTCTATTACATGCTCTGCCAAAGCATAAGATGGTTTCTTAATTCTACAATCACTCTTCTGAGAAATAATGCGATTTGAGAGATTTCTTCCAGTCTCACCAATATACTCAGCTTCACACTGAGTACAAACAATGCTGTATACTACATTTGTTTGATCTAATTTGTCTATAGGATATTTAGTTTTGGAATATAAAGATGAAATAGTTTTGATGTTCTTTGTTGCTATTTTTATATTGTCAATAACCTTTAATATTTGTATTAATTTAGGAGTTAATGATGGTATAAAAGGTAGTGAATGATAATATATGTTTTGATTGTTGGATACAGTGTTTTGAGATTTAGCAAAAATGGTGTTAAGGTATTTATATTTAATAAATTAGAAAAAAGCATCCTATGTAGCATATCTGGAGGATAAGAGTTTTCAATTAAAATATTTTTTAACAAATGAAGATCTTCTTGTAGATAGTCTGGATGAGAAAGTTTTAAAACACGTTCCTTTATCTGTTATAAGGTTCATTTTCATCTTATTTGGATGATTAGAGTAATAGCTTATAAATCTATTACTACATATGGGTTTTCTAAAAAATTATATATATATATATATATATATATATATATATATATATATATATATATATATATATATATATATATAGAAAACCGATAATATGCATAGGTGACAATCGTATAAATCGCGTGAAAACTTTTAAATACCTTGGCACCACAATCAATGACCAATCGGATCCACAACACGAGATAAAAACCCGAATACAAATGCAAGACAGGCTTTTGTGAAATTCAGACCGCTCTATGTAATCAACACCTAAATTCGAAATACGCTACAGAATGGTCAAGTGCTACATATGGTCCATCTTGCTTTATGGTATGGAAACGTGGACTTTGAAAAAAACATCTATCAACAAACTTGAAGCATTTGAAATGTGGTCATTGAGAAGAATGATGCGCATACCTTGGGTGGATAGAGTTCGAAACGATGACGTCCTTAATAGAGCCGGCGTGGAAAGAGAACTCTTTGAATTAATTAAAAAAACGCAAGATTGGTTACTTGGGACATATTGAGAGGAGCAAAATATGAAATACCACAGTTAATCCTACAAGGGAAGATCGAAGGTAGGAGAGGAGCCGGCCGCAAACAATTATCCTGGTTAAGGAATATTAAAGAATGGACAGGAATACACAATACAGGTGAGCTGTGTCACGCCGCCAAGAACAGAATTCTAGTAATGAGATAGTCGCCTACGCACTTTGGTGTATGGCATGTTCAGAAGAAGATATATATATATATATATATATATATATATATATTATATATATATATATATATATATATATATATATATTATATACAATGATGCTGTGGTACGAAGTAATGGCGCATCGATGCTCCACTGAGATAACATCAGCATTGCTACTTTATATAAGTGAAAACTTCAACCATTTTGATCCAGGCTAAGAACAAAAACTTGTTATTTAGTCAGATAGATGTGTCGGCTAATAACAATTGGAAAGCCATAACATTACTTCGACTACTACTGTTAGAAGAACACTACACCCAAATTGAGCAAAAGTTTCTGACTAGTTGGCACAGCTTTCTGCCATGTTATAGAGACTTTGCCCTCATATAACGCAACAAGAAACTTTCATCGGTTTATATCCCGTTTCAGAGGAGATATGTAATTGTAAAAGCTAGAGTTAAAAACCCATTTCTACCTGCATCAAACATTTTTTAAAAATTTTATCAACGCCGAAAATGTAGTATGGAAAGATCTAAAGTGCAAAATAACTCAGTCAGTGTGGATACAACTTAGCTCAGATGATCAAATACTATATGGTTAAGAAAATCCACAACACTATTCAATTATGGTAATCTTATTCTTTAAAGTCAACTAAAACGCCTATAACTAAAGTCACTCTTGCTGAACTTACAGAAGCGTATGAAGGGCCACTACCAATTAAAAAGAAAAAACATGCCAATTTATTAAATATTGCGGAATATATTCCACTATTATAGAGTACGTAAGCTACTATCAAAATCTTAAGAGTGAATAATATTATTTTGATATGTACGTCATACAAAACATGTTTATAAGTAATTTGTTAATATTATGTACGTTTCTTAATTTCACGTGTAGTTCATTTTTTATTTCTAAAACAACGTTTTAATCGCCTTACTTTCACACAACAACGATTTAAACGATAGAGATTTAACACGTTGTTTTATTAAAATATAGCATATATGTTCATAAATGTTTGTTTTGTATAATCTAAGGATATTTTTGTTGATATTAATGTTATGCATCCTATAGTCTATCATATTACGCTCATAAATACATTTTTTTTTTCAAAATAGTCAATTATAAGGTGTTTTTTTTTTTCAATTTGTCGACAAAATGTGATTTGGCGTTTACAACGTTGTTCCAGCATAGCATTGAATTGTTTATTTGATAATGAAAAACACGGTTGTTTGCGTCACATTAGAACACTGTATAAAATCTCATTTTGTTCGTTTTTATCTATATTTTCAAGGTATGTAAGTTGAAATAACATTTACAAAATTATAACCCCCTAAAATTAGTTTAAATACTGGCCTAATTTGTTTATAAAGTTTTTCGTTAATAACTTTCCGAGAAATAAATATGAAATAATGCCATTTCGATATTCGTTCAGTTGGCAATTTTCACAAAAAAAAAAGTTGTTTTATGATCATTTGTGACCGAGAATTATTTGTTTGGCTTACGTCAAAACCACGTAAAGTATCTAAAGTCTCGTGGTTTTGGTATCGTTGTTCATTATTTTGAAATTGTTAACGGATTGAGACTGTTTTTGACAGTTTGATGGCCATTATTAAACTGGTGTCTTTGTGCTAACTAGTTTAATTTACTTTGTTTATTTCTCTGTTCTGTTTGATTATGTGGTGCTGATTGCATTACAGTACCAATTCTATTTTGATCCCAATTAGGTTGGTTTTGTGAATACTGAAGATTCGTTTGACCAGCTACATTAAGGGATTATGGAATTGTTGCTCAAATACATGCTTCACCTATACCAGGTACATAATTTGCTTGAGATGTTTCCGGTACAACTTGAGTCTTCGATAATTCTGACTTTACATTTGGACTGATTGAACAGTAGATGCAATAGGGTTTGTACTTTCACTCTGTTTGGAATCCTCAGATGTAAGCACTTGTTGACTATAGTATTATTGCTGTGAATGTCCTTGAGGTTAATGAGACTGGTTTTGGCGGTTAGGATCGCCCATCCCATTCTGTTGTTGAACATAATGGGTAATTGAATTATACTGTTGTGTTGGAGCTACTACCTGATGTGATTGAGGTTGTGTAAATTGCCTCGGATTCTCAAAAGCATTTGATGGTGGTACCAAGGAGGGATTATACTTAACTTCTTGCTGCATTTGTTGATAGGTATATTGCTGAGGCACAACATTGGATATAACCGAAGATTGGGGCTGATTCAAATGATGCATTGATGGAACAGGTCTTTGAGTCGTCTTTTGGGGATTTCTCGTATTCTGTTGATATGGTTTATTTACGTACGTATGTGACTGTTGAATATCAGTAGGGTATCGCTATTGAATACTCAGGTTTGGTACAGTTTGCGCAATTTAAGGTTGCTGTAAGCCTTGTACTGAATATGTAGAATATGCAGGTTGATAAATTGCCGATGGTGTCATTTGAGGAGGATTATAATGTTGCTGATTCAAACTTGAGGAACCCTTGAGTCTGTGAAGAAATCAGAGAATTTTTTATAATATAATATAACAACAATACCTCCAAGCAGACCAAAGTCAAGTTACTCATTCAAACATGAAACAGAGTGAAAGTACAAACCCTATTGCATCTACTGTTCAGAAGAGTCCAAATGTAAAGCCAAAATGATCGAAGACTCAAGTTGTACCCGAACCATCTCAAGCAAATTATGTACCTGGTATAGGTGAAGCACGTACTGAGCAACAATTCCATAATCCCTTAATGTAGCTCTTCAAACGAATTTTCAGTATTCACAAAACCAACCTAACTGGGATCAAAATAGAATTGTCCACAAGGAATCTACGTTCCTGTAGTTGGCTGTATACCATATATTAAAAAATTTTAATTAAAAAACCTTTATAAAGGTATATATTTGAAAACCCTACGGGTTATTAAACAAAACGTTTTCGGAATCCATATTCCGTCATCAGTGTCCTAGAAAAATATATAACCACTTAATCAAAAAGAACATGAGGTTGAAATTTTGACTAAGGTTAATGAAAAATGTGGTGAATACTTACTAAGAGTACATGAATGTAGCCACTAAATATATGGGTAAAAACCCGTTAACAAATAATTACATTTGGTATACAATATTTCTTATATGTTAAGATGTTAAAGTTACCGTTGGATAAGGTAACATTGCGACAATGGAGTCATATGTCGCCATGTCATATATTTGAGAATGACTATTATAAAAATTGAAAATAGCTTATTTTATTATTATAAATAACGATTTGAAAAAAAACGAGTTTCATATAATTCCAAATATGAAAAATGATGGAAGAATGAACTCGTCGCTTTCAAAAGTCAAATAGAAAGTGGTAGGAATTTTTATGTTGTTTAAATGCTTCCGACAATGACTCTGTAAAAATATTCCCAAGCTCTGTGAATCGACTGTAGCACCCATTCTAAATATATGAACCTATTATGGTTTTTTTTTATAAAAATCTTATTCGTTAAGACTCGTTATTAAATAAATTGTAGATATGGACCGCCATAGTTCCGAATATGTCCATCAAAGAGATACTACAAATGCTTCCCAAACTGTACAAGTATGGATTTCTTAAGAAAGACAAGTCCTTGTATGTCAAAGTCTCAGAAATTTTAACGACCTCCAGCAAGGTGACAGAGTGCGGAATTCATCCAATTGAAGTATTTATCCAGATGAAGAATTTTGAAAGCGGAGGAAAGTAAGTAGAACCGTTAGATTTTTGTTATTATATGAAATGGAATGTTCCTACTTAATTTAATCCAGTGATTTTTTTGTCGATTTATGGTGGTTGCAGAGTGGTGTTACCGGATTTATGTTACTATTGGTTAAATTATCTAATTAAGTTACTATACTTGAATCCGCCTTAGCGTTCTACGTATATAAGTGGAGACTACCTTACTCTTATAGCTCAAAGAAGCCTGGCATTGACGGTACCAGATGGATTGGTACTTCGATTTATACCAATCATATATACCAACTAAAATTTCTGAAATCAAGTTCAAACCGCGTCATGATAACTTTTAATAGTAGGTACATGACAATACAATATCACCGAGTCGGTAAGATTTGTTATAATGATGATAAATGTGATGTTACGGTAAAACTACCGTATTTGATATCCCTTTGCTTATAAAGTACATCCCAGAGGTACTTTTCAGTGCGTCATTAATTATGACGTCATAGAATGAATTAGGTGTATCGAGAATTATTTCATATAATTATTGAAGAATCTGACACATCCCAGGATCGTACTTAGCCACAGGGGTAATCCGTATATTAATAAAATAAAAAGTAAATAATATTGTTTATTCAATTTATAAACTATGGAAAAATTTGAAATTGACGACAAAATGATTCATTTATTGAATTTTTGTATCTTCTTCTCAAGGGGCTGTCTGCGCGTCGAAAGTTGGCAATCATCACAACGATTTTTAATTTTGAGACAGCGGCTCTAAATAAGACGTTATTACATGAGTTACGTCTCCTTCCTATGGATCTTTTTCTCCTAATTTTTCCTTGCATAATGACCTAGAGTGTTAGATATTTATCTCCTCTCATCACATGACCCATATATCCCACTTTTCTAGTCTTAATTGTTAGTACTTCTCTTTCCCTATGCATACGTCACATTACCTCAACGTTGGTTATTCCATCCATCATGAGATCTCTAGTAATCTTCGGTACATCCACATCTCGAATGCCTTCAGTCTCCTCACGTGAATTTTCTTCAGTGTCCATGCTTCCATCCTGTATTATAATACGGATAGCACGTAGCACCTCAGCAGTCGTATTTTTAACTTAAGGTTTACGTTTCTATAGCAGAGAAGCCTTTGTATTCTTGTAAATGCGCTTCTGTCCTGTTTGATTCTGATTCGTATTTCTTGAGAGTTGTAATTGTTTTCATTAATAGTTGTATCTAGGAATTTGAATTCTCTTATTATTTCAATAGGCTGATTCTGTACATCCCACGAATGTCCTGAGTTGTCTTTGTTATTGTCATGTATTTCTTGCTCTGTTGAGTGATGGTCCATATTCTTCTTCGCTTACTGCGGTCACCTAATTAAGAAGTATCTGTAGGTTTTCATGTGATTCGGCTAAAAGAACTGTATCATCAGCGTATCTCAGGTTATTTATGATCATGTCATTAATTATAATGATACGTTTCGGTAATCCATTGCCTTACTTAATATATCTTCCGAGTATACATATTAAATAATACTGGTTTATGTATTTACCCTTGTCGAACAACTCTTTGTACTTCTATTTCTTCTGACGTTATATCTTTTATTCTTACTACTGCTTTTTGGCCATAGTATAAGTAACACAAAAAGACTGTTTTCAAAAATTTATTAGATAACTTAGAAATTAATTACATAACTAAAATAAAATTCTCTTTTGTACGTTTGTATGTACAAAATTAAACTTTTAGCAGATAAAATTATAGAAAAATACTGCCAGTGGGGATGTTTCCATAAAGATATTTTCTTAGACAACTCCATGGTCAAATATTTTGGTCATAACTTAGCTAAACAGTTAATTAGAGAGAAGCCAGTCAGATGTGAATATTAGAATTGGATAATAACTGGTTCCGCTGGATATGATTATGGTTTTCACGTTTGTTGCCGAAAAAAAAAAACAAAAATGGTACTATTAAAATAGACCACTTGAAGCTAAAATAGTAATTGATATTTTGAAACAGTTGCCTGAACCATCAACAAATGAAATTTTTCGATAAACTTTCATGACATATCAACTAATTATATATCTGAAACAAAAAAATGTAAAGGCAGCAGGAACTGTAAAAATATCCAGTAATGGAGAAAGCTAATGAAGAGTAAGCTAATGAAGAAAAATGCATATGATTAATGACAATAGTGTTCTATGTTATCCAATTATGATACCATTGAACCACTAGGTCAAGTAAATACAAAGGTCGCAATATGGTGAAAAACTATATGTATTGAATGGTGTTTTCAAAATACCATACAAATACCTAATGTCCCCATTACGCTGAAATAAACAGTAAATAAAACAATTTTATTTTCAGGGTAATTTTCGACTTACTTCACGAATGGCAGAAATTGGTAATAATGTTTGTCCAGCTTCATTTTCCAATTGAAAATATTTAAGCAATTCAATTCGAACTTGTTCTTTTTCCGCATATCTTGTCATCTTGTAAAAATATAAATAAAACTACAATCACAATACTATGTAAAACAAAATAAATAATATATTATATAGCGTCTATATTCTTTGCAAATACTGACCTGAACGACAGCCGTCACTTGCTGTTGGAACACTTCCAAAGAATGGCCAGCTTGGACGAAATTTTACGTCAACTGTCAGTAATAGGCGTATTTGATTGGCTAGAGAAAGCGCGCATCTAAATATCAACGAATCAAACGTAGGTTAGGAAAGAACCTCTTATGTATGTAAGCTTATTCTAACGCTGCAATATAGTTCTGTTTACTCACCGAACTACCGCTTTCTCCTTCACATCCAACTTAATGCATTAGAAAGAAATCGAAAAACTGTGACGCACTGAAAACTACCTCTGGGATGTTCTATATCACCTTGTACTTATCTTTGCAATTTGATTTAAATATGATTTAATTACTTATTTTACAGACCTTTAGATCCGAAATTATTGCATCACTTGGTAGCCGAAAAAAATTTATCCGAAGAAGCGTTAGCAAAATATAAAGCACCGGTTCAAATAAAGAGCCCGACCTTCATCAATACCATACAAAAGTGCATGAACATATCAATTAATAACGTTAAAAGTGTTAATAAGCGATTCTTAATCACTGTAGACGCCACTAACAAGATGGATACTGTATGTATTGGCAATAGAAACATATCAAGTGTGGAAGCTGCTGCCGCTTTTCTTTGGTACTTTTTGAGGACAGAGAACCATGTAACTGTGGCTGTTTTCAAAGAGACTGATATTGAAGTTATTCCCATGGACAAAAGTAAGTAAAAATCTAATAAACGTAAAACAAATGGTATTTTTTTAAGTGAGATTTTAGTTGGAACTTACTCCTTTTATAGAAATACTTTTGTGCAGTTCGTTACTTGATTTTTAGTCTAAATTTAGATAATGTCATCCATTATCTGTGGCGATGTTGTGAAGTACTGCTCTTGTTACTATTAAATTCATATAATACTATTTAATTCATAGGTCTCTCTCTCTCTTACTATCTCTTTCTTTCTCTCTCTCTCTCTCTCTCTCTCTCTCTCTGTCTGTCTGTCTGTCTGTCTCTCTCAAATTAAATCTTAAATTGGAGATTTCCCTACCAGCCACTACTACTACTCCACCCCCCCCATTCTCTCTCGGTCTTGAATTTGTTTGAGAACTTCTGATCTAGTCGTAGTGTTGTTATATTGGACTGGTACAGATTTTTAATAAGAGTTACCAGGTGCATTGGCGCGCCAATTTCTATTAAAATGGACCACAGATTTATCCAGCTTACATAATCAAATGCCGGCTTAAAGATAAAGTCTAATACGGGCTTTACACCAACAATAAATTCATGAAGAAATTCGTGAAGTCGCTTCAAGGTCAAATTTGATCTGTGTAAAGCACAATTTGACATCCAATTTTTCCGTGAATAAATTCATGAATAACTTCGTGAAGAAATTGACCAAATAGAACATGTTCTATTTTTCCCATTTATTGGACGTGAATTCAGTATCATCAACCTGTGTAGATTTGGCGCGAAGTAAGGATAATAATTATTTTGTTTTTGATTATTGAAACTTTGCATTTTTTAAGTCGTGTGTCAAGTAATAATTATGGAAAAGAGGCAAGTTTATTATTCTATAATAAAAGACAGAAAATAATATTATGTATTTTTTTTAGGAAAAACATAAAATTTCGAGGCAGAAAACTATAATTTTTATTAAAATATTGTTTACTTTTCCTATCTTACATGTTTTTTTCAAATATTATTTATTTAATGCTTTGAGAATATATAGTTAATATTTGTTAATAAAAGATTATATAATTCTACCTTTTTCTTCACTCTCATCTTTTACTTGGTCTAGTCATTAGGTAAATGTTTTTATCATCTTGAAAGTTTAAAAATGGATTAATCAACGTTTTCCAAGAGATATGGATGCTATTGATTTCTGAAACAGGAAAGGATGGTTTTCTTTGAAATGCCAAGTATTATAAAATTGCAAAATGAAAAGTATGGAGTGATATAGTACCTAAGCTGTCACATTCCGCTCATGATTCTCAAAAACAGCATCTTTAAAAAAAAAAGAATTTAGAGATTTTAAATTCTGATAATTTTTTGATAGTCCCTGGATATATTTTCTTTTTGAATTTTTAATATTGTATTATTGATAGGATTTTTAAATTAACTTTGCGTTGAGTCCACTCATCTATTTTTTTGAAGCAGGTATGAATAATTCTATATTATTGATTAGATTTTAAGTTCATTCAGACTGTCAACTAAAACAATTCACTAAGACATCCTGAAATTTTGTGCAATGAATTCTAGATATGTATGGAAGAAGAACGTTTCCAATTTTAGCCAATGAAAGTGGCTTGTATAGTTGAAATGATTCAATTGAAAAATCAAAGTGGAGACAATTTTGAAGATGAATTGCTAAATAAAGACTTTATTGAACTTCCCTAAGTTGAAGGTGTTTGAGAATCCTATAAAATATTTTTGTGTTATGGGAAAACCTCGGAAGAATTATTAATATACATAGAACTTTTTTTTATTTTTTATTAAATTTTTCTTTGCATAATTTAATTGTTAAATTTCTTTTCAATGCATGTCTTTGCCAATTCCATTTCTCTGACATGTTTCTGTTGTGCTCTTTTTCTACATGAGACTGTTGGCCTGCTACTAATTTTGTTCTTTCTTATTCATTATTCTTATTCTCATACTTTATTATTCATAGTTTTCTTCTTAAATTGACTATCTTCCTTTAAAAGTGCAGGATTCCATATCCTACGGATAAAATCTGTACAGTTTTTATTTAGAAAAAATCATAGTTGTTTGTTGTATAACAAATATTAAAACTAACTTTTATTCTGTTATTATGATTCTTCATTTATTATTTAAATTATATAATATTTAAAAATTATTGTATTTTTATACACCTATTTAGTTTAGTCCTAACCTACCCTACTATTCAATAAAGCAAATTGTAATATGTTAAAGACAAATCATTAAAATTGTAAAGAATCAGCTCACAAACTAGTGGTAAAGTATTACTGGTTATTTCCATGTTTTATTTATTTTAAGTATTCATTTCTTTACAATATCTCTTTGTGATTAGAATTGTACACATCTCAATATTCTAACGATAAACATAGCTATTTATTTATATTAGGTAAATATCTCTTGAGAATATTATGATAGTGGTTAAAAGATTATAAAAAGTATTGTAGCTTTTTCTCTTCTTTACTTCTACTTGGTTGAGGCAGGTATTGTATTTAAATAAAGGCTATCATCATTTTAAAAGTCACAATAAATTGATTAACATTTATACTAACTACAGTTAATTTTTAGTATGTAATGAATGCTAGATTTTCTTGTTCTTTTATATAAAAAAAATCAAATTACCACTTTTTCTGTTTCTTTAGCTATGTTGTCTTTATTAAAGTTATTTGAAATTATTTCTATGTCTAAAATAAAAGTTTTCACTAATTGTAATGTAATTTCCACTTATTTTTACCTCTTGTTCAAGCTTTTTACCAAATTCAGCATAATTTTTTGTACAATCTTAATCACTATTTTCTTTTTAAAACGATATTGTTTTCTGATTCTGATTATATTTCCAAATCCAAATATATATTTATTCAAATAAACAACAATAAATAACATCTAATAATAAAACCATTGGTACTACTGAAATAATGAAACTTGATGTAAAAATTTATTTAAGATCAAAGAAACTTTTACGTCCAAGAAATTCACGAATTTATTGACAAAGAAATTGATGAATAAATTCATGAATTTCTTCGTGAATTTATTGTTGGTGTAAAGCCGTATAAGTCATATTTTTATCTGTTATAATATATTTTGTAGAATCACAAATCCACGAATATGTTCAGAAGATTAAAGAGAACGAAAACGAATATTTACTTGTGTCCTCTCCAATCGAATGGGCCAGTAGAAATAAAAAGAAAATCGATGTGTTTATCAATTTTATACACCACTACGAGTACCACTCTACCATTCCAAAAGATGTGAAGGACACGATGAAGAAGCCTGTCGACATTTTAAAGAAGTACAGACAAAAATTAGCATTACCAGATGCAAAGTAAGTTTTTTACTATTATATTGATTGATATTTTGATTTTTTTTTATTTTAATTTTGATTGATAACAGATAACATTTGTTATGAGCACAGAAATTCTCAAAATTTAATTCTTAACACATTGGTATAATTTGCTATAGGCTATGTATAGAATTAACCAAGTTATAAACATTTGGTTAAAATCTGCTATGTGTTCAGGTGATGTAAAATCTGCTATGTGCTAAAATTGCATATAACCGAAATTGCTCTTTGTAAAAGTTGAGCGACTACGTGCACTTATTTTTAACTATATTAAATTCTCCGCTGTAACTATATTTTAGTCACTTTTATATTAAAAATACATTATTTGTTTTAATTTCATTATGAATTTGACTGAGTATGTACTTTTTACACACAATGCAGTATTAAAAGGGACACAACTGCTGTCAATCAATCTAAACACACGCTTACGGTAAACCAACCCCTGGACACAGCTGTGGTCAAACAGCCACAGGACACACCTACGGTCGACCAACCCCAGGACATAGTTGCAGTCGACCAAACTGAGGAATCCACTACTAGGTTATCCAGGAAAAGAGCACCAGCTTATAAGAGACGGACAGCTAAAAAGAATCAGCTGATGGAAAAACATACTTGGCTTCGAGAAAAATTAAGAAGGAAAGATAACTCTGGCAGTAGAAAGACAGGAGATAGGTGTAGGGGAGAGTGTTCCACAATCAGACACAAAATAGATTTTACTAAGTATTGACCTTGTTTATTGAACCAACCAAAATATGATTATCACTAAAATAAATTAAGGCTAAACATAAGTTTTTATGGTAGAACAAACATCATAAACCAAAAAAACTAATTTAAAAAAGTTTGTTTAACAAAGGAGGACAGTTGTCTGATAGTGGAACACACATGTTCCACATCCAGACACTGCATGTTCCACAATAAGACAAAAGGTAATAATGTTTTAACGAACTTCTAAAGCTGAAAATTTACTTCAAACTTCAAATAAGATTGTTGCCTCTTTGTTGTTCCCACATGTGCTGGTTTTGGTAACACCATCTTAATGTTTTCCAAACATACCAATGAGACGTCTTCTATTTCGAGGTAAATGAAGCTGTTATTATACTTAACGGACTTTCTCAAAAATTTGACCTCGCATTCCTTATCCTTTTTACAGAACACTTCAGCTATGTAATAAATTTTGTTCTTTTTGTCCATAAATTCTATCAAAATAAAATCGCCAACTTCTGGCTCTTTATTAAGCTTATCTAGAAGTGGTGGTGGATCGATTTCTCCTACAAAATCATTATCATCATCGGAACTTTCGGTTACAAGCATCGCCGCGTCTTCATTTTCTCTTCTGTTGAGTCTTCATCGATTACTTTTCTTTTCACGACCTTATTCTTCTTAACACTTTTTTTTTCTTTCTCGCTCCATTTGTTTAGCTTCTAGGGCGATCTTTTCTGGAGTGTCCGTGGCAATAATACTTTTAGCTTTTTCTCTCTTCTTTCTCAGATTTTTTCGTTCTTCAGCTTTTGGGTATCCTTTAAATTGTTGTGGACTTACGAACGTTTCTTTGTGATTTGTGTAGGTGTTGTGTTTAAACTAACTGATACTGAAACTAAGGAGTCTGACATTATATTTTCTTCAATGCATCTTGATGTTGATGATTGATTTGGATCCATAAGTCGTTGAGCTTCTACAAGTTTTGATCCACATTCCTATCAGTTACGCTGCTAATTGCAAAGTCGTCATCTGTAAATATGAATTTATCAAAGTTCTACATCCTGAGGACTATGCTTTGCTGCCACAAAAGACGCCTTAACACACTCTTCAACCCTATACCTAAGCTTTATGATAGTCCACAACTTATTCAAAAGCAAAAATATGATAATTTGCAAGATCTCAAAAGATTTATAGACCAGGAAAGTCATGCATTCTATGACAGTTTGACACACGAATAAGTTCAAACTAAACTACAAAATGTTTCAGTAAATTTAGGTTTCGTTTAGAAGTGTATAATTATTGTTTCTCTTTTTTTTAATTCACAATAAAAATAGTTGAATATTCATTTGTTTTATTTTTAAATTAATAATGAAAGAAAAACATTATTTGAACATATTAAGCAAAATCTGCTAATTACTAAAATGTATCAAGTAAAATCTGATATGTAATTTTTTTTCACAAAAACAAAAAAAACTCTCAGTGCCTATTTCAGACTTAATAAAATACGTCTTTACATTAACCATATGATCATTTTACATATATCTTCCATAAACAACTATCTTACACAACGTACCATTTTCAAACAAAATAGTTTTGTCTCCCCTGTAAAATTTACTTTTCTACCCATAGCAGATTTTGCTCGCGCAACGACGATATTCATTTAATGTGTCAATATTTTTTTTATCACTTTTTCACTATTTTTACATTGCTAAACATTATTTTTCACCGTGTTCTGGCTAATATCAATTTTCTTTTTGTAATTATTTCTTCTATTTTCTTTCTAACTTCAAATTTATTATTTATTTTATTATAGTTTTAAACAATTTGTACAAAAATCCTTGTTTGAGAACGATTTCCGGAGTGGAGGTCAACACGTTAAGTATTAGTCAATTAAAAATGTGTTTTTCCTTACAATTACAACCAGTAATTGTGGCTTAATCCCATAAAAAACATATTTAACTTAACCATGCCACAAGGAAGTAATTTCGAAACCTATAACATTGAATCATCTGTTTAAATTTTTATTTATTAAAATAATTTAATATTAATTAAAATAATTTCATATAAATATAATTGTTATTTTTAAACGTATTATTTACTTTATAATAATTAAATCTACTATCAAATGATATTTATTTATAATTTATTATTAATATTTGGTCTGATTTGACAGGTCATAAGTAAACAACGTTTTATCGCCAAATTTGAAGAAAGGGCCTGGAAAGCAAAGGCCAATTATCCACTCCGACGGTGCCCGACAGAGGAACTTCGACCAGTACATCTTTGATGTATAATTGATATTTCTCACACAGGAAATGAAACATTTTTTAAAGGGTGGAAAAAGACCAGCCACAGAGACTCCGTTTGAAGAACCGGAGCTCCCAGGCTGTGTTGCCAAAACTCACGATTAATCGTGAGATTACACTAATTCGGTAAATTTCTCACGATTTCACGAATTATATGGAAATATACACGATTTTCACTCACTTTAGAGAAATAATTTTATCGGATATAGGACAAGTAGTTTTATACGTAATTTTGTAAAAAAAAATACGTAGAGCAAGGAAACCCCTATTAACAACCCATTATAACTAAACGAAAAAGAAGCTAAAAGTATTAATTTTATTTCTACCATACGAAATTCGCTGCTATTGGATAAGTTGAATTAGAATTCGGGGACGTCCCGCTTTTGCACCAGTTACAATATTACCACGCGTTGCATATTTTTGCACGTATTTTTTATAAATCTCGTTTTTTCCATTCTTACCCCATAATAAGAATTATTTTTTTTAACATTTTGTTCCGGAGAAGATAGCCCGAAATTAGCTGTCAAAGTAAGTTTCACAAAACGAAATATTCCGTTGGCAGTGTTGCCATGTTCTTATAATGTTACATTCTTCAAACATAAAGAGAGTACCTCACGAAGAAATACCTCACGAAGAACCCTTAATTCTTATGAGTGTCTTTAATGCACGAATCGGAAATGAAATAGTTCCAGGAGTAAAACAAAAACTTAATGAAAACCATGTCAACGCAAATGGAGAACTCATGGCATACGTTTGAAAACTCCAGGGGACACAAATCTATCCGAACTTCAAACTCAGCAAATGCAGGGAGTGAACACAAACTGTTACTAGCAAAAATAAGAGTGAAAATAACACCAAAACATTTTCTACAGGATATCACCTAGGAAAAATTCAACATCGTTTCAATTCAACAAGTTTACATGCGAAATGGCGAAATTGGTAAAACAGTCATTTAATATAAAATTTGTACAAGAAGTGAAAAAACATTCCTCCCTATACAACAAAGACTCTGCAGTTTATATTGTTTGCAATGTAGGGACGAACCCAATACCTCATTTTTTTTCTGCATTTTACGTCTTCTATTATAACAATAAGGAATAATATCTTCATCACTTGAGTCACTAGACATTTTTAACGCGATAATAACACTCAATAATATAATATAAAGGTTAACATTTAAACACCCTATAACAAAGCTACTCGTACAGGCAAGAAGTGACTCGTTTCTATTAATTTTCAGTAGCGTAGTGTGCGAGTCACAGTTGGTAATTCTAGTTACCAACTAGTTTAGTTTCTTTTTAGTAGCTTCATGTGCGGATGGCCTAAGTGAACATCAATCTTATATTAAAAATAGAGAATTTGGTAGATCTCAAATATGTTAACACGCATGTGAAAATGAACATAGAGTTAATGGAACCATTCAAGTATAGTCCTAAAAAACAGATGGTAAAAAGAGAAAAATCAAAGAAGCATCTCTAATTATGCCAAATGAGACCAATTGCGTCTTAAATTCTTCAGCAGAATGCAGTAAAAAGCAGAAAAAAATACCACTATTAGTAAGTCAATAACATATCGAGGATAAATCATTTGTTTTTAAATAACATACATATAAAATCAGAGTTTGGTATTTATTGAAAGTAAACTAAATGTAAGACCAAATACTTACCATGTCGGGATATAATTATGAGGTTTTTTTCATGATTAACTATGGAATCACTAACAGGAGAATTCTACTGTAATCATTGCATGTGGAAGACAAATCACACGCTATGATTTTTGTGACGGATATTCTCAAGTTAAAGTTGATTTCATGTAATCGAATGAACTATCCTACAATAAAGTCGTCCAGGAACGCAACTCTTTAAAATGTATAGTATATGTCTGAATTGTTAATATGAATGAGTCAGATAAAATTAAATTATTAGAAGAATTTTTCACCAAGTAACAAAAAGCAAAATTTGTTTAATTTATTAATGATTTGTATTTTGAGAACAATTTTCGAAGCGGAAATGGAAACTTTAAAAATAAACTTATTTTAAACTTAAATTGTGGTTTATTCCCTGTAAAAATTGTAATTGCAATACGATAATACGTTCTATGCTTTATTTCAGGTTAATTAACGTTTGCTTTACCTCAACTAAGCTGACTATAGCCGATGGGTCTGCCAATATTTTAGACATCGCAGGATTGGACTCAGAAATGCCCAAAGTAATAGAAGCATTCAGCCGTGGACATTTTTGCTAACTCGATTGAATCGAATCAAAACTGAGTACATCCATCCGTTCAGAAGTGTTCATAAATTATTTTTCTATTTTTGTTACTACGAAAAAACATTTAATAATCATTAAACCTGTTAGTGATATATGGAAATTTCCATGAGATTTAAGAGACAGGTGTATTATTTAAGTAACGTTGTATTTTCTTTACTGTATCAGACACTAGTTGAATTAGTAGAGAATTTACTCTGGCACCGAGAAATGTACATTTTTGATTAGATTTCATTAAACTCTGTTTAATCGATGTTTATTTTTAGTGTGAGAAATTTGGTTAATGGCATCAGAATTAGTTACATTTTATAAAACGTGTCATCTCTAAATTCTAAAAAATTTTACGTCTTACTTCGTATATAATAATTAGATATTCGCATAAAAAACTGCAAAAAGAGGTAGAGAAAGTTTGGACGAAGTTTGAAATTGCTCAAATTAAGTTTTGAATCCAAGTACTCTGACTAAATTTCTTTCATGGTAGCCAAAAAATTACATTTCTATTATTTTTTTCTACTTACAATTAATTTTCCTCATAATATCAAGTAGTGGGCATTAAATATTTCTTCTTCTTAGCTTTCTAATTGTTTTTTGGACATTGTTTAGTTTTTACCAAGTTTTGGCAAAATTCTAATGTAAACGAATCCCATATTTCTTGCAATTTTTCGTTCATTTCGCGCCACAAAGTCTCGATCGGGGACAAGTTGGGACTGTTAGAAACCCATTCCAGAAGTGGTATGCCATGACCTCCTCTTGCGTTGGGGGTCTAGTTAATTCATTTTCTTCTCCATCTTCCCCAGCTCTTGTTGTTGTACCTCCTGCCGTGCCTGCTTCTGCCTCTGTTGTTTAGTAATTCCTTCAAATATGTCATCCAGGTTCTCTTAATTTCGTCTATATCGCTAATGATTTCACCCTTCTTATTTTTGCAGAGGATAGTCTTCGGTTTGTATCTGTCTTAAATGTTTGATAAATTGGTATGCACTACGTGTTTCGTTTTCCTTGAACTCCCTCTCTATGTTTAGTATCCGTTGGTTTTCGTATTTTCTCTTGTTCTGCCTGCACAGTTTATCTGCTCTTTGTCTTTTGTCTTGTTCTCAAATTCTGTTTTTCTCTCTCTACTACGTCTGAGTATGTAATTCGTATGTGCTTAATTTCTTTCCTGTATAGCTTGTTTGCATTCTTCGTCGACCTTGTTTCTTCTCTCCGTTGTGTCTTTGTTCCTAGGACTTCTTTCGCTGTGTTGAGTATGATACTGTTTATGGCGTTCCATTGGTTTTCTATTGTGGAGTCTGCTCTGTTTTCTTCTATTAATTTTTCATCCACTGTTCTCTCAAATATTTCTTGTATCTCAGAGACTTTTAGGTTATCTAAGTTTAGTATTTCTTGTTTTGGATATTTTTCCTTTACCTGTCGACTGATTTTGCATCTAAACCGTGTCTGTTCTAGTAGATGGTTTGATTCACAGCTTGTGCCATGTCTGCATTTTACGTTTAATATAAGTAATAAATAATGTGAAATGTTATTACTTATCACACGCTTTTTCAGTTCCTGAAATAATTTAGTTCCTTAACGGAATACTGCCGTTAAATATATGAGATTAAATAATATTTTAACTTTTATGCCGTTTCTTGAATCTGATGGAAATGTTTAAAATATTTATAAAGTTATCTATACGCACACTCTTGGTTATGTGATAGTATCAAAAAAGTTTTATTAAATTTTTTCTTTACGCTAGTATTACTGTAAATGTCTTGGAAATAAAATCTACAGAAAATAATGGATGTAACTTTACTGAGTTAGTCAAAAATGAGTATCCATCTTACTTTTACTTATTTAAAGATATAATGTAGTTTTTATTCCCAATTTAAAGTTTTTTCGCAAGAAAATAAGGTAATTTTTAAGATGCTTTCTTGTTTATTTTTAAACAAAAAATTTCGTCTAGTCACACAAAAATCGGGTATATCTCTCTAGTGTTTACGGAGTAGTTTAAATGTGTGTATTTGGTTAAAAAGAGTCCTAAAAGTAGACTTCTTGGTATAACTCTTATTAAAATATTCACAATTTTTACATCTTTTTTTACACATTTTTACATGAACCTGCAAATAACAGTTTCTTTTTTATTAATACACAACGGTATTGTATATTTTGTGCACACTATATATGTTTTCGCTGTACAGCCTGGAAATTTGCATATTGACCTAGTGTTCTCATCCCAATAGGGAAAATGATAAAGCCCATCTTTACGGATGTCTTCTTGTGGTATTTCTTTAGTGGGTCCCTTTTTTCCTTTGTTCTCGTACATTTGCTGAATGCTACTACTTGACGGTCTTCCTACTCTGTTCTGTTTAATTGGTTTTCAAAAGGGGTAAATCAAATTTCTTCGCTCTTTTGGATAATAACCAACAGTTCACGGCTGTCATGTCAATGAAATGAAAACATATTCGTAAATAATATTTCTTCGACCTGATTTTTATACGATAAAATCCTAGCATGGAATCAAGGAGATCTACACCTCCCATGTAGTTGTTGTACATTAGGACACTGTTGGACAAGGTATCATTTTATGTATAGTTTCTTGTTTGAAAAATCTTCTTTTTTCTCCCTTTGGTTCACTTCCAGCATATGTTGACATTGTAGTAACGATTTTATTATCAAACCAGAACGCTACACTGACATCCACATTGTCTATATTGGCTATTTTCTCTATCATGTGATCTCTGCCGCGCTTCTTCATTTCTCAGCTGACCTCACAATTAGTGTATATGTCCATAAAGTCATAGCTGAATCCCGAAAACCCACTCAGCACAAAGTTTTTGAAGCCCCACTTATGTGGTTTTTTTTTGTTATACTGCTTTAGCTGGCTTCTCGCTTTTGTTGGTATAATCTGTTCGTCTACAGCTAGAAATTCTCTTTCGGAACCATGAGTAGTCGTTCTTTGATTTGGCTCAAAACAGGTCTAATTTTGAATAATCTGTCATGTCCAGGCTGATCATTTTCAATCATGTCATTATTATTGAAATGCAAGAAACGTTTTATTTCTTCGAATCTGTTACAGCTCATCACATCGATAACTGTTCGGTGGCCAATATTGGCATTCCAATAGTGTCTTGTTGATGGAAGTTGAATTATCGACAAGTAAATAGTAATTCCTATAAATTGTTCTATTTCATATTTTTTTATATTTGCTGGTGTACCTGGACGTTGTTGCACTGAGTATAAATTTGATTAGTCTGTGGTATGCTCTATAACTATCAGAAAAGAGAAACTTAAAAAATTGAACCAGAATTTCTAATTGTAAAATCGAAGAAGATAAATTTTTATAACCAGTAAATTTTGTATCATTTTCTGATCTCAGATTTCCTTTCACCCAATTATGAGATTTCTTCCTTCTATATCGTAGTCTTTCGGATAAAGGGGTATCATCATCTGTGGATGCGGTAGAAATGAGAGTTTCCTTAACATTGCTTGGTAAATTTTCACGCTCCTCATTGTCACTCTCTTGACACAATATCTCATTTGTGCCGTCTTCATCGGAGAGATCTGATTCTTCACTATTAGTACTATTTGGAATTCTAACTGCATTCATTGTACCATAAAAGAAATAATAATTTTGATTCCTTTCTCACTCCTCGTTTTATTCTAATCCTTGTTCAAAGATTGTCCACCTTTATGGTTAGTAGTAAATCTATAAAGCGAAAGTAATTTTTTGTTTCAAAATTCGTAACTTTTGAGTAGAACAAGCATGTAGATTGTACTTTTACAACCCTCACAGGTTTCCAGTTTGTTCTAGAATCCAAACTGTTGCTCACTCACTTCGCTGAGGATATATACATACAATTTGGCAGAATTTATAAAATAATCTTAGGGCTGGATAGCTCAGGTAAAGAGTGTATGGTTTTCCCGCAGAAGGTCGAGGATTGATCCCAACGCCGGCTAAAACATAATCCAAATGCTGTAGTGGCTGCTATAATCCAAATGCCGTACTGGCTGTATAAAGGGAGACCCCAGATTTAGCTATACGGCTCACACTCCCTCTAAGGGGGAAAATTCACGAATCCCAGATACCTACGGTATCAAAACGATTGAGCTCTGGTGGCACTCTTTCCGTGTTATCGAGATCTAGGTGACTTGGTTTGTTGGAGTATCTTCCAAAAATTTTCGTACACATTTGAACGTCACGAGAGGTACAGCTTTCTACATGACCTTATAAAGGTGCTTATTTAGACCCAGCTGTTTTATGTTCGCTAGGAGGTTTTTAGGAATAACACCAGTAGTAGATAGATACTGCCTGGGTACTTCCCATTCTCCATTGTCTCCTGATTTGTATTTCTAGATCTCTATACTTTTGGTGTGCAAATTATTGGTGTTGGGTATCGCTAGATCAATAAGTGTTGTTTGCCTAGCAAGTTAATTAACTAGTATGAGATCTGGCCTATTATGTGCCACTGGTTAGTCTGTAAGCACAGTGTGGTCCCAGTATAGCTTGTAGTTATCATTATTAAGTATTCTGTCAGGGAAGTATTGATAATAAGGAAGATGATCGGTTTGGAGAAGTCCCAGATTGTCAGCAAGTTCTTGTTGGATAATCATTCCTACTGAGTCATGGCATTCTTTATAATCAGTACCGACAAACGTCGGGCACCCACCAGTAAGATGTTGGATGGTTTCTTTGGCTTAACATCCATATCAGCCTTTGTCATTTTGGATTTGAGGATCTTTAATAATATATTTCAGGTGATCTTTAGTTGGAATAACTTGATCCTGTATTTCACAATGCATACTAATAGGGAGACTATTATTATTATAAAAGAATCTTGAAACTTCTCGGTCTTTGGATTTCGTTAACTTTGATTCGTTCAAAACTAAGCACTAGGGAGATGATCTGATAACTCGAATAAAAATAATGCTATTTTCATATTTTTTAAGTATGGTAATAACCCAAATATGCTTTTAAATTTATTATTAAAATATGTAACAAAATGTCCACGTGCCTTCAAAATGTCAACAAGACTGCAGTGTTATTTTGTATGAGTTATCCATATTTACCTATCATTGAACCCAAAATGCAGGACATTTCACCTTACTGGCGAGACCAGTAAAATATCTTCGTAGTTTGCGTCTGTATTATAAAATTTTTCAGTTCAGAATATTTTTTTGAAGAACAGTTTGCTTTAGTGCCACAATATACTACAGACCTGTATCGACTGTAGATTCTTAAGCTTGTTTAAATGTTTTTTGTCACTAGTTGGAATGAAGTTAGTATTTTTTTTATATATTCTTGTGTATTAACATAAAGAACAGTTATTAGGTTAATAAGGATATAATGTATTGGCCTATAAAATGTTTGAGTGCTAAATTATATAAAGCAAACTTACAAAATGGATGAGTGAATTCATTCTAAAACAGAATGCGAGAAATAATGAAACTGCAAATTTATTTACACGTATAACAGTTCTTTTTACAAGGAATTTAGAGAGTGTACATTATGTTACCAACATTTTACATTGATCTGATGAGTTTCCTTTTGGTGTTATTACTTGAATAATGTTTGTGAGTTCAAATTAATATTTAGAATATCGTAAATCAGAAATAGCAATGATTTTTTACGCATTTTATTATTTGTGAAGGTATTTCTGCAAAATACTACTATAAGACTATTTAGGTAGCGGTTAATACACTTATGTAACTGTTAGCTATTTTTTATGTAACTGTTAGCTATTTTTTATTTTATTAATAATGCTGTCGTTTCAAGATTGTTACAAATTTCATTATTCAACAACGTTTAAAGATTCAATCTAAAACTGGTATACTGTGAATCTATGTACTACTTGACATATCTACTAGGCGTTTGAGGGGATTGATCCATTCAACAGCAATAGTCACGTTAAACTCAATTTTACCTGTATTGAACTTTTGACATCCTCTGTTTTATCATCTTCAAAACTTAGGATTGGGATCTCAATCAGGTCCACTCTACATGTTCACCTAACGTGGCTATCGATCGTTCCAGTCGAGACCTCGCTTTTACAGTTAAGATAGAGGTGTTAGTCTCTGTGGCTGTGCGAAGAACGGATACCAACCAGTAAATGTAGTGATTTAAAGTGGTATTCATTTTGATGATGATCTGTTAGTAATTCTGACATGTTTTTGTTAAGACACTCAGGATGTTTCTTGATATCAATTGCCTCTCGGACTCTCTGTTATAATGAATCTTACTTATTTGCAGCCCATAGCTTGTGACATTTGTGACTGTACGCGTTTTGTAACGATAAAAAACAAACCACAATGAGGCGAATCTGTATTTTGTGAATATATATCCACTTATGGGTTTTAGCTATGTGGAGTGGTTTTCGAGAGTCAACGTTTATTTGGGATTTTAGTTTGTTGAATCCAAAGGTTTCTAAAACAGGAACATTGATTAAAGTAAGATAATATGTACAGGCAAAGAATTGTAGGCTGGTTGGTTTGGTGTAAAAAGTAGAGAGTTGTGGTCTGATGAATGATTTAAGCTCTCCATTTTGAATATTTTCGAGTTAGGATATTTTTATTTATTTGGATTAGGATGTTTTTTGATCTCAATGTTGTTTGGCTTCATGTAACCCTTGCTTAATCAATATTTATGTTTGATCTGCCCATCGTACCTGTTCTTCTAGCAATGTGTCCAAAATACTGCAAATCTGTCTAATCTCACTTGTATTTGTTTACTGGACAACATTGATATTGTCCAGTCGTCAG